ACCGAACAAGGGTTGGGCCGAAGTAGTACGGCCCTGTCTTGAGAGATCCTGCTCGGTCAATGCAAGGCGTGGTTCGACCGAGCTACATAGCTTCTTGGTATCGAAGCCTGACAAATGGGTTATCCGGCGCCCGGAAAGATAATGTTGGACCGAGCTACATGTGTTTGCTCGGCAGTAAGGCCCACGACAAACAAGCGTAGCTGTCCCGAGCTCGGCGATGCCGGGATATGCCCGAGCTCGGTCGAAACGGAGTGCGGCGAGCGGAGCGCTCTGGCCAGCTATACAACACGGCCATCTACAGCCGAGATGATGCAGCCCGGCTGCCGAGCTCCCAGTAAAGTGGGCTGGCAGTCAGGTTAGGTGATGTTCAGCAAGATTTGTGCTGACAAATGGAATAGTAGCACCACGTGTCGAGAGAGAATGGGAGTGGATTTGGCGCGCAGAAGGTATATAAGTAAGTCTGCGCCCCCCCATGCGGAGGCAGATAAATATTTGGTGAGACATACACTAAATACTCAACACTCTCCCTTCTCTCTATCTAACGCTTGTGTGTGTGTTCTAACTTGATCGTCGGAGGGGTTTTCCGGCCACACACCACCGGGTAGCTCACCGCCGTTGTGCTCGCAGGTCGATCGGATAGACAGGAGTTTGGAAGAAAGGAGTGCGGGCTTGCCTGAATATCTGCTCCCCGCACAAGTCTCATTAACTAATTGTAATATCACTTACCATTTGGTTTGATCTAAATAATTTTATTATACTTACCACGAATGGAAAACAACATTGGACATAACAACATTGTATATGAATTACATAACGGTGGTACTATATGCACCAATTGGTATACTAATTAGTGTACCAACATATATTATGACATTATTACTGACTCCACCTATTATACAAATTATAAATACTCAAAACTTCTAAAATTGTGCCACATTATCTGTTAGTACGCTAATTGGTATACCAATTGGTACATTTAGTATTATTCATTACATAATGATGATGATGATATTGACATTGGTGATTACAACTTGGCAATCAAGAGAATATTGTTAATTCTAATGATCTCCCAACCGAAAGAGATGTTAACTATATGGATCAACCAACCGAAAAAGATATATTTGAAATAACATTAGATTCGGTAGAAAATGAAAAAAGTTTCTATAATATGTATGCAAAGGTGAAAGGTTTTAGTATTCGAAGAGATTAGTTGTATAAGGACAAGAGTAATATGGTTATATCGAGGAGATGGGTTTGCTCAAAAGAAGCGCATCAACAATCCGAATACCTTGAGGTGGAAGATCGTAAAAGAGAATCGAAATAATTAACTAGAGTTGTCATGCATCCTTTAATATCAAACACAATCCAAATATTTGCAAGTATGAAGTGATTGAGTTTGTTAAAGGGGAAAACCATTCCATGATAGGGCCTCTAGTGAAGTAATAAGTGGAAGTTCATTGAATAATAAGTGAAACTAAAATTGAGTAGTAAGTGAAGTGTGTTGAAATAGTAAGTGAAAATTGATTGAGTAATAAGTGAAAACTCATTCAGTAGAGTCTAGTGAAATAGTAAATGAAAGCTCATTGAGTAGTAATTAAAGTGTAATGAAATAGTAAGTAAAACCTCATTGAATAGCAAGTAAAGTGCAATGAAATATTAAATGGAAGCTGATTGAGTAGTAAGTGGAGTCTAGTAAGCTTTAATTGATTAGTATGTTAAGTCTAATAAAATAGTGAGTGAAGACTTATTAAGTAGTAAATGTGGTTTAATTGATTAGTAAGTCAAGTGTAATGAAGGAAAATTTAAAGGATCAACAAATAAGAAGGTTTAATGAAATGGTAAATGAAATCTAATTAAGTAGTTAGTAGAATTTAATGAAGTAGTAAGTCAAGTTAAATGAAACAATTAATAGAGTCTTATTGAGTTGTAAATCAGATTTAATTGAGTAATAAATCAAATCTATTTTGAAATAGTAAGTAAAATTTCATTGAGTAGTTAGTAGGATTTAATTAAATAGGAAGTAGTGAATAATGAATAATGAATAAAAATAGTAAGTAGTTAGTAATGAATAACGTATAAAAAATGCAAATAAACAGCAAAGTGTGTCAAATCTATTTAATTGTTTTTCATTGCGTATAAAATAAGAATAATGTTATATGTATTAATTAATGTACACATTAGTATACTAACAGATAAGGTGGCATTATTTGTATAATTTTGGATATTTGTAACTTGTATAATAAATGTGGTCAATAATAATATCATAGCATTAGTTGGTATACTAGTGTGTACACTAATTAATACATATAACACCACCGATAAAATAATTAAAAAAATTAAGATTGAATATATTAATTTAATTCCGGAAAATTTCTCTACCAGTCTAATCTAATTAAAAACTTACAAATCAAAGAAAAATTTAAAGGATCAACAAATGTACTATATTCCGGCCAACTATTTGTTTGCAAAGAAAAAATTACACAAAGCTTTTTCAATCTTTTAAGAAACAAAAATAAATAAGTTAATTAAATATTTAAATCTCGTTCAAATTAAAATTTTCTTTTCATTGCCCCGAACAAAACTGGATTGTTTGGGGTTGTCCTAAATAAATATATTTTTTTATATTTTTAGACTAAAAAGTTGAGGTTGAAAATATGAATGTTTGGGTTAACTTTTTGATTTTTTATGAAAAAATATGTATTAAAAAATTGTATAAATTAATGTGTAGGAAAAAATTAGTATTGAGAATTATACAGCCGTAATTGTTGACTTTTGATGAATAGTGATAATTTTTTAACTTTTTTGAAACTTTCCAAACTTCTTTTGATGAATAGTGATAATTTTTTAACTTTTTTGAAACTTTCCAAACTTGGCCTCAGTCAATTGTTAAGGAGAAAACACTAAACAGTGGAAGGTGGGGAAAATAATTAGCAAAGGATGTGGATGCTACTTCTTATGTAGAAAAAATTCACATAAAAAATTTCAGCCATTTTTTAACCGGTTGTAATTATTTTGAGTTCGTTAGGCCAGATGGTAATTTCTCCAATTGTAAATTCATTTCGCAAGTGCATAATCATTACACACCATATTTATCTGAGAGTTTTTGGAAAATGATTTTCCACCGGTTGTAACCGGTTAACAATTTGAGCAAAGGACCGTTTAGATTCCTTCCCTAAATCTAACGGCTGAAAATAAGTTTGATGTATGGTACACAAATACTACTTTCAAATGTTTTGCACTCTAATAAAAGAGCTCTACTAACTCTAACGAAATGTGAGTCCTATAATACTGATGTTTATGTTTTGTGTTTTTTTCTTTTTTTTAACTTTTTATGTTGTTAGAGTTTTTTGATTTTGAGGAATATATCATTGTTATAGTACTTTTTAGGACCACAGTCGGATCCCAAATTGTTGGGCTCTGTGCAGAGCATTTATCTGTTGGAGATTTACCGGTTATAACCGGTTAGTATATTTTAAATTCAATAGTTCAGATTATTTTACCAAATCTAATGGCTGAAATTTATTTTTTGGCATGGTACCAGAAAACCACTTTCTCCGTCTCAAAATATTAGTCTCTTATTTTATTTTTCATTGTCCCAAAATATTAGTCCCTTTTTATAAATCAAGTACAAAAATAACGTAAATTTCCTATTTTGCCATTCTTTTAAATTAATAAACAATTTAAAAAGTACAATTATGACATTGATATTCCCAAAAAATGTACTATCAAAAGGGTAATTTTGAAAAACTAACTTTTTTTCAAATGCAATAAGTGTACTACCAAAAAAAGTTAAATTCCCCAAAAAGGACCAACATTTTGAGACGGAGGGAGCACTTTCAAATGTTTTGCAACTCTAATAAATGAGCTCTACTAACTCTAACGAAATGTGAGTCCCACTATAATGTATATGTTTTGTGTTTTTTTTTTCTGTTAGATTTTTTTTTTTTTTTTTTTTAACTTTTTATGTTATTAGAGTTTTTTGATTTAGAGGAATATATCATTGTTATAGGTTCCGTTTAGGAAGAAAAAAGTCAGGCTTTTTTGGTTAAAATAGTCACCAAAAAAAAATAGACTATTTTAGTTACAAAAAAACAAAACATCAAATCTAAACCATAATCATTACAATCCTCTCTCACAAAAAAAAGTTAAAAAATTCAAAAAGTCAAAAAACCTTTCCCAAACCAAGTTAGAATAACCCAGACTAAAATAACTAAAAATTCAAAAACCTAACTCACTTCCCAAAACGGAGACATAATACTTTTTAGGACCACAGTCGGATCCCAAATTGTTGGGCTCTGTGCAGAGCATTTATCTGTTGGAGATTTACCGGTTATAACCGGTTATATATTTTGAATTCAATAGTTCAGATTATTTTACCAAATCTAATGGCTGAAATTTATGACTGAAATTTATTTTTTGGCATGGTGCCAGAAAACCACTTTCTGATACTGTAGTGGTTTCCAATGGGAGAGGGGATTCATAGCTCCATGCTAGTCCTGGAAGAGGGGATTAGCATAGCTCTCTATGGATTGGGTTTCAAAATTAGTGAGGTAATTAAGTTGAAAAATATTATTTTGTCCATGCCATGTGTTATGTATTTATGTATTTTTTATTTTTTTTATTTTTTTTGTGTGCGGGTATTATATCATTATATATATATATATTAAAATAATGTAATACAAAAAAATATTTTAAATATTTTAATATTAGGATAAACTAAATAAATACATTTTTTTGACTTTTTATAAAATATGAGTTTGGTATAGGTTGGGTTTGAAGTGATGTGGTAGAGAAGTAATGTAATAATAACTTTTTAACTTTTTTAAGTTATGTCAAACCAAGCCTTAAGATATTTCATATAGTTAATCCCCTCACTAAAATATACCACAAATAAACACAATTTTTCTTAATTTCTCACTAACAATCCTCATAATCACTTCACTAATGGTCTTCACTCTAATAATCTGAGTCAACCTAACTCCAAAAAACAAATAGGCCCTTAGAGATGCTAGGCCTTCTCTATATACATGTGCTTTCAGTGTGGTTGTTTCCATGAACAACCTCATAAATCCTAAACCATTTTCTCCCAAAGAACTATCTAACATAACTTTATCAGTTCCCTCCTACCCGAGTAGCTACCATGATGAAAGGGAGTGACGATCTTTCAGAACTTGCACAAACCATCCGTAATATAATCGAAGAAGGTGTAAAGAAGACCACCGGTATACCGGTGAGAATGAATTTCGCGTCCGTAGCAGCCGATTCCCGACACGTATCAGCTTGAATCTGATACGTGAGCGATATAGTTCCAATACTGTCCGATTCGGCTGAAAACAAGCAAAGCATCTGCAAAAATAATTGAGCAAAGCAAAATCACCTGGAAAAGCAAAAAATAATGAGCAAACCCCTCACTGATTTCAAGCTTCTTCGTTGAAGGTTTTTCTCTCATGCTCTGTTTGTATTTGTTTCATGCTCTATTTTTTGTTTTGGCTGAAGAAGTAAGTCTGTTTTTGGTTTTGGTTTCATGCTTCGTTTCATATACTTACATATATTTGTTTCATGTTTTGTTTTTGGTTTTGCTTGGTGTTCGGTTTGTTTATAATATATATATATTTTTTTTGTTCTCTCACCATATGAATATGATGCTCGGTTTGTTTATAATGTTTGGTTTAAACTCATGCTCTGTTTGTTTGTTCTCTCACCATATGAACACCATAAATGCTCTGTTTGTTTTGGGTCAATATATATATATATATATATAATTGTTTGGTTTATAAGTTGTGTTTGGTTCGGTTTGTTTATAATATATATTTTTTTTTTGTTCTCTCACCATATGAATATGATGCTCGGTTTGTTTATAATGTTTGGTTTAAACTCATGCTCTGTTTGTTTGTTCTCTCACCATATGAACACCACAAATATTTTACTTTTTAAGTGTATCTAGATAGTGTCTCTAGATAGTATTATTATTGTGTTGAATATTTTTTTTTATTTGATGGGATCCTTGATTTTTTTAAATAACCAAACTATATATAATAAAATATTAATAATACAAATAAAAAAAATTTAAAAGCTTTTGTTTGCTTGATGGGAGATGAGACTAGAGTCACCCTGATTATTGATTGAAAGTGCATTAAAATAGATAAATAAAATAAATAAATTAATTAATTAATATAGAAGATCCCAAGCCCAATTTGATATGATTTCAGGCTCTCGTGCTTCATTTGAGTCATAAAGAATTAGTGATCCATGAAAAACTTAGAAGCCATGACAATGAGTTGATTAGGATAATTATTTCCTTGTAGTGTGTTTGTTTGAATCTATCAAATTCTTGAATCTGTCAAATCTATATTAAAGTTTATATTAATTTCCACATCAATTTTATATTAAAGTTTAACATATATGCCAAATAAAAACTTGAGACTAAAATAAATACATATCATTTAGTTGAAAATGAGTCAAAAGTGCATCTACATATCAAAATTTCGATTAAAATGTGATAAATTAAAGCTAAAAGAGTCAAATAATGCATAAAGTTGAGTTTTAAAGGGATTGCTAATGATTTTTGAAATTTCACAGCCGCGACGCCCGATACCCGATACGTACCGGTCGATACTCCCGATACCGATACTCCGCGATCGATACCGTTACGTTACCCGATACCGCGATTTAGAACTATGTGTTAGGCCTTCTCTATATACATGTGCTTTCAGTGTGGTTGTTTCCATGAACAACCTCATAAATCCTAAACCTTTCTCTCCCAAAGAACTATCTAACATAACTTTATCAGTTCCCTCCTACCCGAGTAGCTACCATGATGAAAGGGAGTGACGATCTTTCAGAACTTGCACAAACCATCCGTAATATAATCGAAGAAGGTGTAAAGAAGACCAAATCCATGCCATCTCCATGTATTTTCAGGGTCCCGGAGAAGCTTCGCAAGGTGAAGGAAAGTGCTTACACTCCTCAACTCGTCTCAATCGGACCTCTTCACAGTAACAAAGAACATCTTAAATCACCCATGGAGGACATTAAGAAGCAATACGCTGAAGCCCTGTTTATGCGAGTGCAGACACCGGTGCTACAGGAATGTGTAGAGAAAATGAAACAGTCGTTACCCAGAGCCAGGGATTGCTATGCAGAGAAAGTAGAAGTCGATGCCCTGGAGGATGTGGAGAAAACGAAAGAGTTGTTAGACACAGCCAAGGAATGCTTTCCAAAGAAAGTCGATGCCCTGGATGTACCCATGTTGGTCATCGATGGCTGTTTCATACTCGAACTTCTCTACAGGTATTTACAGATTTTGAATATTTAGTGATCCTCTCCTTGAATATAATTTTTTAATATTAAAATACTCTATTTGTACCAACAAACAAGTTTGAAATCTTCTGCATAAATTCTAACCAAATTCTTCAACAACTACTTGATTAATGTTTCTGGAGCCGTCACTGCAGGTGGTACCATAAGGCTCATGATCCCGACATGATCGGAACCAGCAACAACCCAAATTCCAATAACAAAACAAGTCAAGATTTCTGTTTCGACACCGCTCTGAATCGTGTCGCAATTAGACAAGACTTGCTGCTATTGGAGAACCAGCTTCCCTTCTTCGTTCTCGAGGACTTGTTTAGCCTCACGGTGGCAAAGATTCCGAACCTCACGGTGGCTAAGATTCCGAACCTCACGGTGGCTAATACTCCGAACCACACGGTGGTTACTATTCCGAATCATCCGCCTAGTCTTAGTCACTATCTCCTCTCATACTTTGGCAACATGATGAATCCCTCAGAACAAAGCGACAAGAATGACCGGGAACAAAGCCACGAGGAAGACCAGGATCCGAAGATTTGTCATATCCTTCACTTTCTATACAATCAATACCGGACACAAGAAGGTACTATACAATCATCCACAGAACCAATCAATACTGAAATCCCCGAAAACAAGAAAGAACACCAAGATTCACCAAAAACCAATTCCATGCCTCCTGCATCAGAACTCGAGTATGCAGGAGTCAAGTTTGAAGTCAGTACTAAAACCGGTGACACCCCATTCAAGGTCCAATTTGTTGCCCCACGAGGCCCTTTCTGGTACTGCCGTAGAGCTTCTTTCAAAATCCCAACTCTGCAAATTAGTGCTGCTACGGAGAGACTCTTGAGAAACCTCATTGCTTTCGAGCAGTGTTACACTGGCTTTGATCTTAACACTGGCCATTATGGCCTTGATTTATACTTCACATCGTATGCTACCCTCATGGATAGACTCGTAGACACTGAGAATGACGTGCAAGTGCTTGAAAAGGCTGGAGTCATATATAGCCGTCTCGGCGACAGAGAAGAGGCCTCTGATCTGTTCCACAGTCTCTGCAAGGAAATTGTTCTGCCTCGGGATAGTTTCTATTTCGCTCAAGCTTGCAATCAGGCTGCTAGCCACAGCAAGCGTCGTTGGCCTAAATATTTGGTGGGGTATCTGAGGCGTACATATTTCACTAATCCATGGACATTCATAGCTTTCGTGGTTGCCTTCATCGTTTTTGGCATCCAACTCGCACAACTCCTCCGTAATTTCCTTCGTTGAGGATTATTCTGCCAGAATTACTTGATACTTCCATTTTAGGGCTTCTCGGTATTCGGTTATGAGTCAAAATTATGTTATGAAATATGTGATCTTAGTTGCAAGATATATATGTAGTGGTTGTTCAATATGTGTATTAATTGTGAGATATGTTGTGTTCTCTTGTACCTTGATATCTCCATATATAAGTCTTTGCTGCCATATTTTTTTTTTTTTTTTAATTAAGGTATCCAGATTGTTTGACCAATTTCACTGTGTTTGGTTTGAGTTTTTTGGATTAAGTTTTTTGAAAGTTAAGTTTTTTTATTTTCGTATTTTTTGTTTTTAGTGAATATTTTTAACATTTTAAATATTTTTTTTTTTACTTTTTTATATGCACCTTATTTAGATGTATTTAAAAGTAAAAAAATTATGCAAAAATATTTTTAAAAATTAATAAATACATAAAAATACAAAATATGTACATAATTTTCGTATTTTTTTTTATATTTTTAGTATTTAGTGAATTTTTAAAAGGTTTTTTTCACAAATTTTTTACTTTTTAGGTATAATTATGTTAGGCATGTCTAAAAAGTAAAAAAAAAATCTAAAAATATTAAAAAAATTTAATAAAAACAAAAAAATTCAAAAATTAAAAAAGTAAAATTTTCTGAAAATTGTTTTTAAAAAAATGGAACCAAACATTTGGAACTCTGGACAAGCAATGCAGAGGCAAAAGGCACGAGTAAAGGCAAAACAACTCATGCTCGGAATGTCATGAAATTTGGCCGATTCAATGTTTAGACATTTGATTTTGCGATTTTATTCTTTTTTTCAGACTTCGTTTTATCTAAAATATGTCATTTTTATTATATTTTTTAAATTGGGAAAAGTTAGGGATCATAAAAAAAAAAATTATGAAAATGATCATGAAAAATTTATGATCCTAGGATTGCCTTAATTAGTGTGTGGTATTCTATTTTAAGTGTAATCCAAGGATCACAAATCTTTCATGATTATTTTCATGAAAAAATTTTCATGATACCTATCATTGCCGTTTTAAATTTGAGCTTAACTCAAATCTTCTCACTTTTGGTAATTTTAATGGTGTAAGGCTGAGAACAATTCACTTTTGATATAATCAGTTTTTTACATGTTCTTTTGGACGGGTTGTATTCAAATTTTTTTATATTATAAGTGTAATATAAATAACTACAAATAGTAATAATTACAAATTGAAAAATTGTGAAAGTACGGTAAAATAATGGAAAAATTACTCATAAATTTCAAATTGGGAAATGTTGCTTTATTTATAAGTGTTTTTTGTTAGACCAGCTTGTCCTTTTTATATTTTGGTACGTTGGCTTTGTTTGAATTATTCGGTTGGTCAGAGTAAATGTTTATGATCGAAGGTTAGACGGTAATGACAGTTTGTAGGCATGATTTATTTTCCCAGTAGATTGTCAATGCGAGTTAGTCTATTATGGAAATAGTTATTGTTCAATTAACAATAAGCAGGTGCTATGGATGGTGAAGTATCGACTTGAAAATTCCAATATTAAAAGGGGGGTTACGTATTGTAAAATGAAAGGGGTATCTGAAGTATTCTACGAGTAACATGCCAGAAAATTCGCAAATGAGGGCCCCCTCTATTGTTGTGTTATCTAAAAAATATACTAATGATAATGTTGATGTCTGGCATTGTCCTCCAACGAAGGCCATTCCGATTCTGACACGGACTAAGTCTGTTGGTTTACCGGAGAGGCGAAGAGATTTGTTGTTAGGAGGTTTTGGGGAAAGTGGTTCAGTTATTCATGAACGCAGAGGTCGTCTGAGTTTGTCAGAGATTGATGTACGCAGAGGTGGTGATGACACTAGTGATGTTGATCCTGGTCCGTCGATTTCAGAGGTTGGTGTTAGCAAAGAGGAAGTTGATCGTAGAGGATCAGTTGTTATGGATGCAGCAGAATTTTCTAATATTTTACGAAATGTAATCATCAGTGTAAAAAATAGTGATGTGGCTCAAGATGTAATAGTTGATGATAAAGGAAATGTAGTAAGTAAATAAAATTTTGAGTGGTTTCATAAATAAAATTAATAAAATTTTTCATTAATCATGACAGTGGTTACATTAACATCAAACCATTCTCTCATTTTTGGGGACATTGCATCTAGCCAACTACTGTCCCCTTTTGTTAATAAAATACAAGGAATTCCTCCTCTAATAGTGAGATCTGGTTAGAACTTAACAAATACATGGAAATCTCTCTAGCAGCCTACTAAATTCTTCATTTACTCGGTAGGGACTGTCGAGTATTTGATGTCATCTATCACGTTGTAGACGGCGTCTTGGTCGTAGTCCTTGAAGCTTATTCTGCCGGAGAAGTAATTGTGTCGTCCGAGGCTTCTGGCCCAGGCGGTTTTGCCTGTTCTTGAGGGTCCTTCGAGGTAGAGGGAGATTGGGCGGATGGGCCTCTGCTCTGGTTCCTGTTATCAGAGGAGGAGGAGAGTTCTTCGTCAGTATATAAATTGTTTATATTACTTTTGTGTATCCCTAATCTAAGGAAATCGTCTTCCCTCCAAACGGAGAGACAGCAATTTTGACATAACTCGTACTGAACGCAATTTCGACTTACAAACAAAAAATTATTTTCTACCCATTTTTTTACTTCTTCATTTAAGAAATGAAATGAATTAAAAGGGCTAGTATATAGGGGCCTCTCTCTTTTGTAATGATCCCTAAAAAATGTTTTTAATTGGGGGTATTTTGTGACGTAATCAGTGGGACATCTTTCTTCATAGAGAGCAAAGAATTGTACCTCCGTTTCTGCTTCGCCAAGTATTCCCTTCCAGAGTTCGTCTCTGTTTTTCGAAGGACTTCTCCCCTTAGATGAAAATTCTCCCCATTCGACGAACTCGCCCGATTTCTGTATATACTTTCGACTTGCTGTTGGCGAGTGAAGTTTTTCTATATTTGGATGGTAAATCCTCCCATTGGTTCCAGTGAGATTGAAAAATCTCGGGTTGGAGGTTTGGATCTTCTTCGTGCATTGAACCATGGCATGAAGGTCAGGGTTTCCATCTTCATGGAGCTCCCTTGCGAAAAGTATGTAGTATGGCTGACAGGCTAGTTGAATGAGAGGTTGGAGGAGTTCTAAGAGTTGTTCTTTTGGTGTGAGTAGCCGGGGCTTGGTGTGAGTAGACGTGGCCATCTCCTGTCCACCCACGTGTCACGATCGTGGTGGTTTTGCTTGGATATAAAGCAAAGGTGCACAGAATTTCACGTGAATGAACAGTATGGGCGGGAATTCAAATTTTAAATTCCGAATCTCCGTATTTACAGCTGTCTATATATCTGGGTCCAGCCTCAGATATTTGTCGGTGGAGAGAGATAAGAGAGATATGCTTTTGCAGTTGGAGAGTTATTACACTGAGGTGATTTTCTGGTACCTTGTTTCGTCCCTCCTTTTCTTTCTACCAATTTTGTCGATTTATTTAGTATACAATGTTGTACTCCTTAGAAGAGTATCCTGAGAATTACGGGCAGTTCACTCAAATGGGTCGATTTATGAAAAAAATTAGAGAGTCTTTATGATAGAAAATTAGCCACAAATAAAGCCTTTCTGTTTCGTAAGTTGGTTAATTTAAAATATAAATATGGCAGCCAAATTCCAGAACATTTGAATGAAATAAAGAGTATTGTTAACCAACTTGCTTCTATGAAAATTGTTTTTGATGATGAGTTACAGGCTTTGATGCTACTTAGTTCTTTGCTCGAAAGTTGGGAGACTTTGGTTGTGACCATTAGTAATTCGGCGCCCGATGGAGTTGTCACAATGGGCCAAGTCACTAGTAGCCTCTTGAATGAAGAAACTAGAAGAAAATCAGCGGGTTCCTCTCATTCAGAAGCATTTGTTGTGAGAGGCCGAAGCAAAACAAGGGGGAGGAGTAAGACTTCTCATGGTCGTGATCAAGCCGTGACAAATCAAGAGATGATTCTTTTTCAAAGAAAGACATTGAGTGCTATTATTGCCATGAGAAAGGGCACATGAAGCGAGAATACCGAAAGCTCAAGAACAAGGAGAAAATGCGTGACAAAAGCGTGGATAAGAAGCAAGAAGACACAATAGCAGTTACTATCGATGATCTCATGGTCGTTTGTGAAGAAGATTGTATCAATTTTGTGGGCCAAGAAAACAATTGGGTGATTGATTCTGGTACTTCTTTTCATGTGACTTCTCGAGTTGATTTCTTCACTACCTACACCAAAGGAGATTATGGTTCTGTTCGAATGGGTAAGAAGGTTTTTCCAAGATTATTGGCATGGGTGATGTTTGCTTAGAAACAAATTTGGGCTGCAAGTTGTTGCTTAAAGATGTGAGACATGTTCCCGACATTCGCCTCAATTTGATATCTACTGGGAAGCTAGATGATGAAGGCTTCAACAAAAAATTTGGTAATGAAATATGGAAGCTCACAAAGTGTTCTTTAGTGGTGGCTAAGTGCAAGAAGACTCATACACTTTATTCGATGCAAGGAAAAATTTGTAAAGGTGTTGTCAATGCGCTTAAAGATGATACTTCTACTAAATTGTGGCACAAGCGACTTGGGCATATGAGTGAAAAGGGGCTACAAGTTTTGTTCAAGAAAGAGAATTTACCGGGTTTGAAAGGTACACATCTCAAAACTTGTGTTCATTGTTTGGCAGGTAAACAACATAGAGTTTCTTTTTAGAAAAATGTTACTTCTAGAAAAGAAAATGTTTCGGAGTTGATTCATTCGGATATTTGTGGTCCTTTAAAAGTTAGAATACATAGTGGTGCACTTTATTTTGTTACTTTCATTGATGATTATTTAAGGAAAGTTTGGGTTTTTCTACTAAAAACTAAAGATCAAGTTCTAGAAGTATTTAAGCATTTTTAGGCCATGATTGAAAGAGAAACAGGGTAGAAATTGAAGTGTATCCGATCAGACAACGGTGGTGAATACATTGGGCCATTTGATGAGTATTATCGCAGTCAAGGTATTCGGCACCAAAAGACAGTTAAGAAGACTCCTCAACAAAATGGCGTTGCCGAGAGGATGAACCGCACCATTGTAGAGAGAACAAGGTGTTTGTTTTCACAAGCTAAATTGCCAAGATCCTTTTGGGGTGAGGCAATAATGACAGCGGTTGACATGATCAATTTATCTCCTTCCTATCCTTTGAATGGTGATGTTCC